AACAGGGAAATCCCAAAGAAGTAATGTGTTCAAGAAATTTATAATTTTTTCATGAGATAATATTAAAAATGGACAACTTTTATGCAAAGCAACCAAAGTAACCAAAACTTGCTCCAGGTATGACTTCTGCCCATAAGGCCATATTGTATGTACCAACCAAAATCGAATGGCCTCTTCAAGTAATTCTCATGATTCTCCTACATAAAATTGGGGCTATAAAGCTTTATATCCATCTCTCCAAACTGAATGCTAAAGATTGAACCGTTTGACAGAAAAAAATATTTTGTCCCCTGCCATTTTTTTTTTAATCTGTTCTCTTCAAGTCTTATTTCTTTTAATATTATAAGACCAGCATTAACAGTTTTGTTGACTGTTCAGTCTGAGAGCCAACAAGGCTAATATATGTTTTAATACTTTACAAAGTTTTTTTTTTTTTAAGTAGTGTGAGTGTGAATTTTAACCTGTTTCTATTTGATCAACAGGTTGACATCCCCATTGAGTTTAGCGCTATGAAAGTTCATTGGGTTGCAACAGGTACCGAAAGGGATAATGTTATACAAGAAAAGCTTACCCAACATAATAGGCATTTAAGGTAAAAAAAATACTGCTTCAGTTTGTTTAATAATTATTTACCATACCACTGTATACTTTTAAAATTTTAAAATGCTCTCCCTACTTTTTCCACAGGAAATCTGATATTTTGATGTCTTTTACTATCAGTCTCAACAAGATGCATTCAAAATGTTCTAAGTTTCTTTATTTTGAACCACTTTAGGCAGCATCAGTTTGTACATGTCAATGACCCTATTGCAAGCCCCCTAAAGTTTCTTTTAATTCATTACTTGAATGTTTATCATGCTTAATCTGTTGATATAAAATACGAATGTGATTTTAGTTTATGGCATTTTATTTTACAGAGGCCTCCTTGCTGAGAGGAATATAACCCACAAAGTTCCTCCTATCTATTTCATAAAAGACAACCTACAACATGAAAAATCTTCGGACAATCTCTTTGACATTGCGCGCAAGGAAGTTGAGACATACTTCCAACAAGAAAACATAACGGAAGAAGAATTTCTCAAGCGTATCACACCTGATGCAGAAAAGGGTGTAGAAACTGTTACAACCCCAGGAAGTTTAGATAATTTCAAATTTGACAAAAATGGCATAAGAAGAGATGACATGATACAAAAAATCCTTGCGTGTAAGACCAGGGAAGATGGAAAATGTGCCATAGAGGATGAACACCCAGATGTCACAAGGACCATCCGAATGGGCAATTGGAGGGAATATGTTGCACAGCAAAAGAAATTTGCAGAAATGTTCAAAGAGCAGGACAGGAAAACTCATCAGATGTTGAAGCATGAGGGTAGCACCTTGTCACTCATCGAAGCAGCCGAGGGGGAAATTGGCATTGGTGCTTCCGAAGAAAAGATAACGCATACTGAAAGAAATGTTAGGGAACTCAGGAAGACACAAGACAGTAGATTAGAGAGATTAGCGCAACGTTTCACGGCCAAAGACCTGATGGACTTCACGGACAGTGAATATGTGGGATATGAAAGTGACAGTATTAATGGACTGCAAGGTATGTTACTATTTTTCTTTTGTGGATTATTTTTACTAATTTTATTCTTTTTATATACTGTGTAGCTATAAACTACTTTTCTGCTGATTTTTCTGTATGTATAATAATTATTTATGTTTCAAAACTCGATTTAAGGGGATTTTTTGAATTCTTATGGGGTTATTTTATTTAAATTATTACTTATAAGATGATGTTATAAAATACTTTGTGCAAGTGTTTTGAGAAATAAGATGGATTCTCAACAAGCCAAGTTATTAGATCTGTGGATATAATTCTATACTTCACTAGGTCTTAATTTTTTTTTTTTTTTTCACATTTCTAAAACAGCTTATTTAAGGAGTTGCATTAGAATATAGGATAAGGTTACTCAAAATTGATTTATAAGTTTGTTAAGGATTTTTTTTTTCAAATCCATAATGCTGGTGATTTTAAGGCATAAGAAAGGCATATAGGTTTTTTTCCTGGGTTTAGTTGTAAATTTCTCCCACTTGCCAATACTCAATGCACTTTCCCATTTTCTAAAACAAAGGTACAAAAAATATCAAAATTAGGGTAAGTCATGCTTGTTTAGCACTTTTTTAAATGCTAGTAATGTGTAACTTAACAATATATCTTTGTTCTTAAAGAGGCCAATCCCTTTGATGAGAGGGGTCTCTCAGAAGCGGGGACAGATTCTTCCGAAGACTTTGCACAAAATACAACCAACTCGGAGCACAGTCAAGCAGAAGCAACCACAGAGCATTCCAGAATCTGTGCACAACATGGGCATAATTCTTTGTACAGTCTCTCGGAGACAATTTTGGAATTGCAGGCTGAGGGTGCTATTATTTGTGAAGATCCGGATGAAACTATACCAAATGTAAAATGGTCTAAAGTTATTATACAGTGGGTAAATGATATCCCTGTATTTATTGTGTCCATGAAGGCAAAAGGTCAAATATTTAAGGGTATTGGTGGCAGCTCTGTCGACGCAAAATGGAATGCAATAGAAAAGGCTCTGGTCTCTTTGGCTCCATGTAAGGAGGAATTACAGTACAGAATTGTCTCTAATTATGGACTGGAAAAGAAACCTACATATGTTGCAGTCCTAACAATAAATGATATGACGTTTGAGGGTGCAGGGAGCACCAAATTAGAAGCTGTGCAGAACTCGGCCCAAACTGCTTTTATGGCGGTGCTCCATTTTCCAGACATTTGTAAACCTTCTACAACAAGGGTGCAAAAGAAGATCAAGAAGCCAGTCTCTTCTCCGGACAAGATGGCTTACGTTATTGAGAGGCATATTGGAAAGCACCAATGCCAAAAAGTACCCTCTGATCATGTCTCGAAACTGGAAACAACTTCTGAAACCATTGAATCAAAACATTATCAAGCTGATCCTTATGTCCCAAGGAAGAAGTCTACAGGTGCACCTAGCAAGAAAAAATATGAAAAATTGCCAAGAAAGAAAAAAAATGAAAATGGGAAATCAAGAGAAGACAAATACAAGACAAAGATGACTGCCACTGCTATAGAATTTCTGGAAGATGAAAATTATGTGTTGAATTGCTTGACTGCTTCATATCCAAAACAGAGACAGCAAGATGAACAAACAGAGAGGTGTAGTTCTGAAAAGATTTCTATGTCCAGTACTCATGATAATGATTACATAGTGAAAAACAATGCCAAAGGTGCTGATGTTCGTTATGACATCAGCATGATTGATACCTCAAAGTGTGAAGATTTTGAAAAGTGGGAACCATCGCCCAGTGAAGGTGAACATGTAGACTATGATACCTACAAGATGGAAGGATCTGTGCAGGAACAGTTGCCTTCAGAGAAGGCACCAGAACCAAAGACAAAGAAAGCCAGGAAATGTGGATATTGTGGAGGTGAGTGTTTCACACAAGGAGATGAGAGCTATCACTTTGGTTTGTTGATTTTAAGTCCACTTCCAGAAAATTATTTTAAATATGTATTTTGGAAATATTTTCAAAATAATCTTGTAAGGGTGAGGGAGTTGGATGAAAGTTTAACCCAAACAAATGCCATTAGGCCGTTTCACATAAAGTCACAAGTCTAATATCCCTATTCCACAATGACTAAGAATTCCATGAACTGCCACAAATTGATAAAGTCCAAGATTCTTACTATAATTATGGTAAATTCTTTAAGCTTTTAACTGATTCTAATTTATACTCAGTTCTTGCATAGTTTGAAAGATTGTGAAATCGGGTCAAAAGTTTTGAGCTGTTCAAAATTTTGGTCCTGACCTCTGAATGGAAAAAATTTTTTAGTAAATTCTTACCAAATCCATGGTACCTTCCTAGATATCGTAACTAATTCCTAGCAATTTTTAGCCATTCCTATGTATTCTCAAATTAATCTAAGAATTGTGAAGTATTCATCTTACCGCAATTAGAATACGATTCTGTAAAGCAAGGGTGAGGGGAAGAATAGTCGAGATTACATTAATTTTGAATCAGAATTGTAGGTGCATTCGGCAGACACCTAGCTTTCTCTATCACACTGAATCCTAATATTCATAAAGTATTCCTAAGTCATTCTTGCAAATTGTAACTGTTTTTGACATTATTCCTGCTGCCAAAGCAGAATCCAACAAATATTCTTAGTCTATCTTAACAAATACGTAACTGAATCCTAGAGGATCAAGATGTAAGGGAAAATGAAAACAGTAATGATTCAATCTTTTCAATGCGTAAATTTATGAATTTTACAGTCATACTGTATTTTTGAGACATAAATTCTTAGAATTAAAACATTCCTATTGAGTATGTAGTAGTCACAAAACTGAAAAGCAGGCTACTAGTACCTTATAGTTCTATTCAATAAAGTAAAAGCACCACAAATGCTTTATAGAGATAATTTTTATGATAATTCCAAAATTTTGTTTCTGAAAAGTTGATGATTTCCCCATTAAAGAGATCGAGCCATTGCCGTAGGTCAAATAAAGGACGGTCACCAGATATTTGAAGGTGCAGCTTTTTTGTGCTGTCCGAGAGATTAATTTCAGTCAGCATTTTGTATGTGGATTTTATTTGTGTCACGAAAAATAACTGGCTTTTATAATTTATTATAAGTACATTACAGCCTGGGCATTTGCTTGTACTTCATAGGTATCTATTAAGTTTTAACATTTTCTGTTCAGGTACTTTTTCAAATACCATGGGCAGTCTCCTGAACAAACAATAGGCTGCAACCATTCTGTATTCTGTGCAGAGTCACAACAGTCATTTGCACAAATGCTCCACATAGAACACGGTGTAACATGAAAATCTGACTCCCCCAGTCAGATTTTCATAATGAAAATCTGACTCCCCCCATAAAAATGAAAAGTGAAAATTTCATAGGGGGAGTCAGATTTTCATGGTACACCGGCACACTCTGTTTTTTTTCTGCTGGAATCGGTTTAAGTCTGCCTCAGATAAAGCACTTGTTGCAAGGCTTTTCTTGATATAACAGAGATAATTGTCTCAACTTCCTCATAATAAATTTCATATTGTACTTAATATATTACTAAATGTTAAATTTAGGTATTTAATTGCGTTGATTTCTTTTTAATAGGATTAGACCATATCAATCGCATCAGCAAACATGGAATTCCTGAATGCCCTCAGAGACGGCAAGCAGAAAGTGTGATTAGTTCAACAGAAAGAGATGGGAACTCTATATCAAGTCAAAATCACGACATTGAAGCTTTATGAAAATGTTTGAAACAAAGTGCCATGTCTTTGAAAAAGTGTTTGGTAAAAGGTTTTTCACGAGGGTGAAAACCTTTTTTTGAAAACCAAAAATTATTGATCATGTAACATTCTTTTCAAGTTTTAATGAAGTTGTATTTGTTATGGTTTAAGGTTTTAGAGAATAATGCTTTGAATAATGATAATTTGAATTGCCAAGAGGTTCGATTCAAAAGAAATTTTTGTCACTTTTTTTTATTGGTGCTTCGAACTATTGATAATTAAACATAAGGCATTTTGTAATGGTTTTCCAGGTAGCTTTGACTGCTAACTTGAAGCATTTATTTAGTCCATGACTTTATAATCTATAGGCTTCACAGTTAAAAACTTGCAAGTGATTGCCTTAATTAACTTATAGCACTGCCAGTAATGGGTTTATTTTAACCTGTGTTTTTTAAATTTTGATTTAACAATTTTGGTATAAAAATATTGCAAATTTGGTGCAAAAAATTACTGATTTCATTATGTAAATTAAACATATTTTCCACTACAAACTTTTGAATCAACTTTTGTCATAATATTATATTTAGTAATTTAAAATTCTATAGATCATTGTCACTGCCTTGGCACCACTATATTGTTGTATCTTGCTATGGGAATTATCTCCTGCCTGTATTCCAGTGGTAGATACTTTTCCACTAGAGTATACATGGACTGGGAGTCTGTTACAAAACCTTGCCTGTAATATAGCAAAATAAATGAAATTGTAATGATCAAAATTAAAATAATTTAATAAAATGCTATCATGAATTGTAGAAAAATTATCTTCTTCAAGTTATTGCCTCTTTTAATAAACGTTTTTCAAATAAATGGAACTTGCTGAGAAATGAGGATTTTTTTATTAAAAAGTATAAATGTAAAATGGCTCTGAAAGTCATGTACAGAAAAACTGTCCTGCAAGAATTCCATGAGTGTAAAAGCTGGCATCAGACCTGTCAAACTTTATTCCTCTCTTGTTTTAAAGGCAGCCAACTCTATTGTGATAAAGTTGGTATTTTAAATTCAGTTTCTGTGAAAGGCAGTCTACCTTCTCATGATCAAGTTGGTACTTTTAATTTAGAATCTGAAAGACAGTTTACCTTCTCATGAGCAGTTCAACATCTGACTCTTCTATGGTTTGTCTCTTGGCGTGCTGTGAATAGGCTGCCAAATCGTCAGAGAGATTTGCCCAAAACTGGTCTGAACTAAATTAGAAATGCAAGTGGGTACATATTTTGGAAAGCTTTAAATTTGTAATGACACTATCATTTTTAGCACTTAAAAAATTTTGGTTGTAATTTTCAAATAAATCTTTTGAACAAATAAAATTTATTCATGATAAAACCCAGAGGCTGGTAAGGGGTGGTGTATCCATTATTCACCCACGCTGAACAAATTAAAAACTTGCTACATTATTTCACACACATAACTTGTAAGCAAGGTGAATGCTATGTCCACTCGTACTTCAAATGCACACATCGCAAGCACTAATTAGCCAACTGGTATAAACAGGTACTGCATAACTCACACTTTCTCCACTTCCCTAATAACATCTTTTGTTATTCGACCCTTGGCAAAATGGCTGAATATGCCCTTGGTAAGAGCTGTGGGGAGACGAACTGGTTTCCCTCCCTCTGCTGGAGTTCTTCTTGTTGGCTTTTTTCTTTCTTTTTCTGCCTGGTTGGGTTTACTAATTACCAAATAGGGAGAAAAAATACATAAATCACATTCAAATAAATGATTGTTTATTGTTTTCATTGCAAATTAGTACTTTTTTTCATTTTTTAAATCTATTCAGCAAAAATAAAGAAGGAACATAACCCTTGTTCATTGAAATAAATGGAGAAATAGTGTCTTTGAAACAACTGCTGCTTTTGATTTTCCATTGACATTTAAAATGGTCGTCGTAGTTTCTAATTCAAACTCGCCTGAACAGCTGACATTTTTCAAAAAAATAATCTGCCAGCACTTAAACCAAAACAAATATAAACTTATTATCCATCTTATTAATTGCAAAACTAGGTGTAGGTCACTATATCTTAAGGTTCATAGTTTTGAGCTAGTCCACTTTTAGACAGGCAGATAGGAGACCAACATCAAACTTGCAATACCAAAACATGCCGTGTCCTAGGGTACAACGTCCATCTGCCAATTCCCTATCCTGCTAGCTTCCAAGGCCTACTTACCCTATTCCCATCCCATCAGCAGACACTGCCAACTTACCCTATCCCCATCCTATCAGCTGCCAATGCCATCTTACCCGATCTTCATCCTTCAGCTACCAAGGCCTACTTACCCTATTCCCATCCTATCAGCTGCACCCAGACTAACACTGGTTAGTGCTGGACGTACGTCTTTCCTGCTACTGGGCATGACCTTGGCTTTGGGAGTGGACATGGACCTTGGTCTTTGGGGGATGTTGGCTGGGATGTGAAGTGGAGTGTACTCTGGACCCAGTGTTTTGTTAGAGGCATGCCGTGACCTGAGGCAAAGTATAATATTGGCAATGTATATTTTCATATTATTGAGATAAACTAAGAAAAATATATAAAGGTAAATAACGTAGACTGAATGAATTATATTTTCCAGGTATTTTTTCAAAACAAATACCATGTTTTCATTGACATTAGTTTATAAATGTATGTTTGTTTTTCAAATTTTGAAGGATTCGTCAGTGCAACAGATTATTACATACTATGAGGCTACAATTAAATGTAAATACCTTTCTGAACAACCACATAATCACAAATGAACAAAAGAAAACTATTGATACAAAGAAATGAACAAAAACCTGACTATCATACAAGATTATATGCTCTGAATTAAAATTCAAATGTTGAAGAATACCTATATGATGTTTCTTGCTCCTCATTTTCACTCTCTTCATCTTGTTCTTCTTCATCATAATCATCTTGTTCATTTTCCTGTCTTGATCTTTTACTTGCATCTCCCTCATTTTCATCTTCATCATCATCAGTTAATACTCCATCCTCTTCAGCTTCTCTCTCTTCAACACCTTCTTCTTCATTTTGTCCACCATCCTCATTTTCATCCTCCTCTTGCTCCTCAACATCTGCTTCCTCAATTTGTTTATCATCTTTGCTTCCATCCTCTTGCTCCCCATCAACACTTGCTACCTCAATTTGTTCATCAACCTCGTTTTCATCTATCTCTTGCTCCTCATCAACATCTTCCTCATTTTCTTCTTGATCCTCATTTCCATCCTCCTCCTCAACAATCTTTTCACCTAAATCATGAATTCTGTCCCTGCCACCCAGACTCCTGGATAGTTTAGATTTTGGAGTGCGTTTCCTTTGGTTAGATTTAAATTTATCAATGTCATCAGCATCATTATCATTTTTATTATTGTCCATGAGCCGATCTCTGTACATTGCCTGGAACAGAATAATTCAGAGATATAACAAAAGATCAGACCTTTAAAAATACCAAGTATATATTCACTTTTTTTACTTGAGATTTTGCAAAAAAGCTTTAGTCAAATGAATGGTTGCATTGTTGCCTTGTTTTGTAACATTTTAATGGAATTTCACTATTAATACTGGAGGGAACACATCTTTAAAACATGAAGACAAGAAAAATTAGAAAATTTTAAAGCAAACAATATCCTACAAACAGTTTCAATTTTTTTTAAAGCTACAATATCATAATTCTGAAGATCAATTACTTCATGCTCTTCCTCTTCTTCCTCTTCCTGAATACTTCCTAAAGCTGAATCAGAGATTTCTTCATCTTTTGTGTCAAAGAAAAAAAGAAGTAAGAATGATTGTTTATAACAATGATTGTTTTCAGAAGCAATTGTCCATTTGTATAATATAATTAGTATATTACTTGACTAGAAAACATTTTTTCCTTAAAATTGTCAAATTGTCAAAAAAGAAATTAAGGCCATCATTAAGTTATGAATATTTCCCTAAAGTCAGAAAAAAGTTAAAAATTTCACTTAATAGTAGGTTTCAAGAAACAATTAAATATTAGATATATTAGATAATATTTTTTTTTAAAGCATCTAGTGTTCTTATAGGTAACTTTTTTTAAATGTTGATCACATCAAACTTGAAATTTAAAAAAATAAGTATTAATTTTCTAAAACCTACCACTGTTTTCTCTTTGTGATAGTGTCTGTACTCCTGCAGCAAAAGCATCCAGGGAAATCTGGCGTTTCTTTTTTCGGGAAATATTTGGAGTGTGCCTCAAAGAAGGAACCACATCTGACTGACCATGATCACTCTCACTAAGCCTGGATCTTTCAGAGAGAAAAGATAAATTAAGTTGAAAAAAAGGTCAAAACTTAACACTGCTTTGACACAGGGGTTTCCTCAGCATTTAGGGTACAGGGATTCCATACTGTGAATATGTAATTTGGTCATCGATTTACAGGAAGCCCAACCCAAGTAAACCAAACCAACCACCCCAAAATCTTTGGAAGCAGTCTAGCAGTCTTTGGAAATGTAAGCTGTCTTATAAGGCTAATGGTAGTCCAAATAACGGCCGTACAGCTCTCTGGGGAAAGCCTTGCCTCGAAAACCAAAAACATTATTGGAATTTTTTTTTTAAGTGATTACTTTAGATAGTTGTCCCTCTCTTCTAGTAGGTTAAGTGTTTACTTGTCAAAATAGACATGTTAAGAGTTTTCTCTACAGGTATACCTGTTTTTAATGGCTGATCTTTGAATCTGTTTCTGCAAACTTTGTGGAGTTTTTCTTGGTGACTGCCGCCTTGCTGGAGGATGGAATGGTGTTTCTTCTGATGCTGCAGACAGAAATGAAAAACAAATTCGTGCTAATAAGAAAAAATTCTAAATGATTTTTATATAAGAAAAAAGTTGTACATTATTTACTTTACAAATGCAACAAAAACTCAATAGACACTGAATTCTGGCAATATAAAAGACATATAGTTTATATATATATGTCCTTTTTTGTAGCAAGATTCACATAGTAAAAAACAACAAAAAAGAGAAAAAAGAGATCTTGAGTCTAATATTTGTTTGGTCACTTCTTGAATGTGCTGTCATACTTGATTTGAAATAAGCACTGCTGTACTAGTACATGCAGTAAATAAAAATCAACTACAAGTGTACCATTTTCAAGAAAGTCACGAATAGTTGTTCTTGGTGTTGAGTCCTTTCCTGGTGTTTGGCGCATCCGATTTGTAATTGACCTTCTGCGTAAATCTGGTACAGAGGAGACACGTCGTCTTGCATTGCTAGTAGAAGCCTTCTGTTGTGCCCAAGTTTCTGGTGTCCTCTCTGAAGTGACCCTTGACCTTTTCCTTGTAGACTGAACAACTGTTTGGTGACCTTGCAGGAACTTATTTATCTGCCATAAAAGAATATGGTATTTATTAACTGTAACAATAAAGAATGTATGTAAAATGATAAATAAGTGGGTTAAATTCTGTTTTTATATCTTCAAAGATAAGATATTCCTTCCCAAGACAATTTTAAATACACTTTTACTTGTCGAATACGTTTTTAACAAATTACTTCATTTCTTTACAAAATTACAAAAATTAAATGCAAACCAAAGTTCTTGGTGTTTCTTCCTCGTCGTTGGACGTCATGGACTTCCGTTTTTCTCCTCGAGATTTCCTCCTATTGTCAGTCTCAGACATACTGCCCTTGCCAGACTGCTTACGCGGCCTCATGACACTTTGACTAACATCTCTTGTTGACAGGACAGACCGTATCAACGATCTTGGTGTATCTTCTTCCATGTTGTGAGTTATAAATAACTGTGTGTTTACTGTGCGGCGGTTTGTAAATATTCACAAATGGCGCTCCGTTTCTTTTCTGACTAGTTCCTCTGGGGTTCACAAAGCATCTTGGTATCACATTTATACGTAGCAAACAAATACAGACCTAATCTTCAAAATGTTATTTTAAGTGTAAAGAATTGGAGGGATAATGTATTCTTTTCTGCTTTTTTCCAAATTTAGAGCTTTCATTGAAAGATATTTTCACCAATTTAAGGAACGAATCGAGCTGATGCTGTATTTCGAGACTTTTTTTACCTAACAAAGAAGACTCCACGACAAGCTATTGGATAAGTAAATTTGTTTCCTATTCGTTCACCACATATGTATTGCTTAGAACACTGCATTAAGTGCAACAAAGTATTCTTATCGTTACTTCAAACACTGGAATTCTTGCGAATAACAAGCCACAAATATATTATTTCGATGGTTTATCTTGAAAACCGCGCCATCTTCGAGATACAGAGACGTCAGAGCCATGGCAGAGTAAGTGCTTCCAATTTTAACGAAATTCTTTACTTTTAAAGAAGTATTTAAGGACCAAACCTCTTTCAGTGCGATATGTTAGTTTTATTTTTCATATACCATTATGTTACTGGCATAAAAAACAATTAGAAGTTCGTTATGCTTGGTTTAAATAACGGACCCATTCCCATCGGGCGTGGGGGTAACGACAAACGAAAGCAGATAAATGGCTTTCTGAACAACATTAATTGATCTAAACAACGTCTGAGATACAAAAATATATGATTTCACAGATTAAAATGATTATATTCATATTGTCATATGTTAATCGTAATTCAGTTTTGGAATATGATAGTGATCAACGTAACAGATAGTAATGAGATTTATAACAATTCTTAAATTTTCATTGTTTTAGCCTTCAAGAAAGAAGACTTAAAGATGCACAGATGCGGGCATCCATTAGCCAGAAACTGGTAGAGACTGGGGAGAGAGAGAGGTAAGGGATGCTATAATTTAATTAATCATGGGATTAGTCACCTGGTTTCACAAGACAGCTATAGCAGACATGTCTGAGCTTATGCCACGGAAACACGGAATTCAGTTCTGATGGTCCCTGAGATTCTTCAAGATCTAAAATAAAATCTGTTTCTTTTTTTAAACCTAGGCTTATGGCTGCTATAGGCAGAAAATTGGTATTAAGTTTAAAACAAAAAAAATTTAGTCTACTTTGACCCAGTAGCAGTTTTCTTATTATGCCCCTGTATAACATTTTCAGTACATGCCCAATGTTTCAGAAGGTGTGACAGGAATAATAGTCCTAGGAATCAGAATAAGAAGTTTATTAACAATCACCCTGCATCTGGACATGATCAAATACAAATACATCAAGTAATTCACAGAATGATTTCCATAAAAAACTAGATGTACATTGTAGTATCTATACTAATGTTAAAAAAATGTACTAGTTCTAAACATTATATGAATTACTACATAAAAACATATACTTTAATTCTACTAGACTGAAAATACAGGCTGTGTTAACTCCTTATCTTATATCTACTATTTAAAGGGAGGTATGAAAACTGCATCATTAGTGTATCTACGATATACTAGGATCTAGGAATCGAAGTCTGGAGTGCCATATGATTAGCACAGGTTAGCGTTAGTCAGACAATTGGGACAAAGTACAAACTACTGTACTCAAAGGTGTAATAAATTGCACTTATGTTATTACTCATTACTAACAAATGTCCAGTCTGATTGAATCTTTTTTATCTGGACCAGTGGATCTTAATTCGGACTAGTAGATTTTGGGAAACTGGTTGCCAAAATACCCAGACAGCTGAAAAGCTTATGGCACAGACTGCTTACTTCAGTTAAGTGGACTGCTTTGGGTTTATATGTTGAGCTGAAAAAGAACAATTTTCTGGCAGAAATATCAGACCTTTTTTTTTCTTTTATTCAAGCTATAGCTCTTTTAGGAAACTGGACCCAGAGGAGTTTTGGTGTGATAATGTAGTATTTTTATATTACCCTTAGATAAACAGCCATGTTCCCTTTGCTTGATATGAGAGCAAGCCTGGCCATCTAGAGAACTAAAGTTCTATTTATTTATTCATTTATTTATTTATTCAATTTATCACATCTATATTTTCGAAGTGTAGGCTCTGGATGCTCTTCTTTGAATATGCAGCCATCTTCTTGCTAACATAAAATTATCAAAATATCATAGGAAACCTTGGTTTCACCATGTGCCAATCTTCATGTTACAGGTTAAAAGAATTACTGCGAACAAGGCTCATAGAATGTGGATGGAGAGATCAGTTGAAAGCTTATTGTAAAGGTATGGATGGTTTCATTCATCTAGTAGTTCATGGTTTTATTAAATTTAATACTAAATGACTTAAAGATGTTATAATGTAAAAGATCAGAAAAATCGTTGTTTGTGTTATGATAAGGAAGGAAATATGGCTGTCTGGGTTTATGCATGGCATCATTTCTCTTCCTTTTATTAGTACCACCAGCGTATACGCTGGTGGTACTCATGGTTTTAGTCCCGACCCGTCTCGTACAGCTCCGCCGGCTCCTGCGGCACCGCAGTCGGGCGCCGGAAACAAGTCACTGTTACCACTTCTCCTCCTAGACCGCCAGGACCTGTGTCCCCATCTCTTGGATTTAGGTCACATATAATCTCACCTTGAACACCCTGGTTTTTTTGTCTCTGTCCATTGGCCTGGGCGTGACACTTGTTGAAACGCACCCTTGTCAAAATTTTTGAAAATTCAAGGCTAAATATCTCCCAAACCAAAGGAATTATGGGAAAAATTACTACAGAAGTCTGACCGAAAGTCATATGTGGAGATTCCAAATATGCCCTTGGATTTGACTTTTGACCTTTTTTTCAAGATCAAACAAGCCAAAAGTTTCTAAAAATGGGAATTTTCTGCAAAAAAATATTTGTTTGTGCTATTTTTTGGAAACTACACAGATCTAAGCTCTCCTGTTATAGTGAGGGCAGAGATATACCCATAGTTACTATTGAACTTGAATAGGAAGTCATATACAAGTAATCTAACTGTGACCTTGAAATTGACCTTTGACCTACTTTTCATGATGAACTGCACTTTGAAGTTTTCTAGCCCTTATATCTCCAAAACTGGCAGAGATACACCCATAGTTACTATTGAACTTTAATAGGAAGTTATATACTGGTAATCTAACTGTGACCTTGAAATTGACCTTTGACCTACTTTTCACCATGAACTGAACTTTGCAAATTTTCCAGCCCTTATATTTTTGTTTTGTTTAGATGTGGTCAAACAGAAAGGTCTTGAGCATATCACTGTGGATGACTTGGTTGCTGAAATAACACCAAGGGGTAGAGGTAAGTTACAGGTCTTTTTGTATCTCTTGTGAATTATTAAGAGGTGCACAATTTCTAAGAATCTAAAGATGGGAGTTGGTCTTAGTGTACTAAAGCCATGAAGTTGTTTCACAAAGAAAAAAAGAGTCTTAAGCTGTTGATTTTTCTTAATAGTAAATAATAATTATGATAATAAGTCTGTGGAACAAATTCTCTTGGTCTTTGGTTTTTTGCCAACTGTAGTGGCTAGGCATTTCAAGTGTTTTCAACTTGTGCCAATCTTTAATGAAGCAGTCTAGACTGTAATTGCTGTAACCTTTGTATTAGATTGGACATTCTTTTTAAGACACGTATTGCATATAAGACCTTTTAAAAATAATTAAGGAAGGAAAAGGTGAAAATTAATTTTTATGGGTATGTCAATAATTTTCTTTAATCACTAAATTATGCCCATCACTAAGTTACTCCCTATTCCAAGACTGTTCAGACAATTGCATTATAACTCTCTTAAACCCATTTTTGAGGTATGTTTTGCTTACTTTGGTTTCTTAATTATTTATTAATTTTATTTTTCAGCAATGGTTCCAGATAATGTGAAGAAAGAGCTTCTGCATAGAATACGAACATTCCTGGCACAGCAGTCTAATATGTGAAAAAACATATAAGAAACATTAAAGACTCCTGATCTGATTGGGTGTGGATGAAAAACTTGAATGCTTTATCTGAAAGCAATGGAACATTTAAAATGTTTTATTAATGTGTAATTATCAGTAAGTACAGTAACTGCTTGATCTTTTTAAATGGGCGAAAATGATCAAACTTTTAGATACATTATTTAGAAATCAGGAAATTTATATTTCTATATAGCATTTGTGGTGATTTTAATACATAGAATAGACATATAGA